TTTAGGTTTATGTTCATTACTGTTGATAGGTTTGATCGTTTGATCATTTGTTGGTTGAAAAGGATTTCGAGATTTCTATCTATAGTGTTCTGCGAGAAACACAATATGTTTTATATGTTTTAGGTTTTTATAGGTCTCCATCTGGTGATTTGGAGTTGTTTTTGAAGAGGTTTATAGAGATTTTGTTGAGCGACATTTCAGTGTTAATTCCATGTTGATTTTGACTGGTGATCTCAACGTGAATTTCTTAGACAAGTGTAGGTATCGAATTATTTTAATCAGTTACTGTGTAATTTGTTGAACTCTTTCAACTTAAAGATGCACGTGGATCGTCAACCCACTTTTCCGCATTTTCTGCCTCGATACTGGACTATTTCTGCACCAATTTCAATCAGATTGAAATTCAGTGTGTAACGATCAATGCCGGTTTGTCTGACCACGAGGCAGTAATATGACTTGTACTATTTGGCGACGAAGCTGATTAGGATGGGTTTAGACGCAGTAGACTTTATACTAGGGCAAACTTTTCCAACTTTTCTTCGCTTTGCCACCGATCGGAATAGAATGAGGTTCTGGCTACTGTCAGCCCATTGCAACAATTTCATCAAATGTTGCTGAGTAATTTTGACATTGCCTTCCCTATTGTCAGTATAATGAAGCGAAAAAGAAAACCCTGTTTAAAAAATAGCCTGCGAACTTCTGGGAAAAATATGCACCCACTTCATTACATCAGAAAATTGTCTATGAACAATCCAATATTTTTAAATTATTTTGATGAAGGGTTTACAGAAAATCAATCAGGCTTGCCAAGTGGACTAATTACTTTCAGAATAGGATGAATAATTCTTCTAATAGATCAACGGAAACTTGGAAAATTGTAAATGACCTCTGAGAGGTAGGATAGGAATAATGTTTTGGTCACTTCAAGCAATCTGAATCCTGATGACCTAAATTCCTTTTACTGCAATATTGCCACTGAACTCTCAGCCAAAATTTCAACAGGGAAGGATCCCAGGAGCTATCTGAAACATGTAGGAGTGGGTGCATATTTCTTTCTAGCTCCAACTAATGCAGAAGAGCTTATATGCATACTCGGTAATATCAGGAATAAGGGTGCGTCGGGCTGGGATGGGCTCTCATTGAAAGTTTTTTTTTGGCTTAACCCATAGTTGCTTTGCAGGTTCTTGCTGAGGCAATTAACGTTTCTTTTGTGTCGGGGGTTTTTCCGTCTTGCCTGAAGAGAGTAGTGATTGTCCCTTTATATAAGGGTGGAAAACAAGACTGTCCTCCTAATTTTAGGCCTATAGCTTTACTGCCTACCATGGGCGTCGTTTGGGGGGGGGGGGGGGGGGGCATTTGCCCCCCTAGAAATAGTCTTTTGAACATAAGAAAGCAGTGAAAGGAAGTTCGTATATTCGTATTGCTTTTTTCCGTTTTCTCAAAATTTGTTAGGTACTTTGAAAAATTGGCTGACATTTTTATTACATTCAACGGAATTGAATTTCACTTGACTTAGGGCCGGTATTATAAAACACTGAACCGATGGTAGAGTTCCAACCTTCGGTTGAATCCTATCAATTGGCATGGAGTCAACCCAAGGTTGAAACTCAATCATCGATTCCGTGTTTTATAATACCGGCCATTAGAAAATTACCTAAACAAATACAGTGGCGACGCCAGGGTTCTATGTTAGGAGGGGGGGCAGACTGGGCCAGAAAAATTTAGGGGGGGCATTTATTTTTATTTTACCGCTTTTCTTCTTTGGAATAAAAAATGGGAAGTACCTGTCGACACTATTATGTTTGAGGTAATCCCAGGAAACCGAAAGCAGCATCGCAGTTGCCTGTGCCTAAGAGCACTCAACCTAATGGGCTACTGCTTGAGCTGAAAATGTCTGCTATTTCAGCCGAACACCTCAACACTTGGCGTAAAATGCATTAGCCGAGTTTAAAACAGTCACAGGTCACAGTAATCGTTATAATCTTGTTAAAAATCACCTTTTCTACATTTAAAATTGACGAAAAAACAAGCACAACCTGAATCGCAAGCATCCCATCGAGGCTTGCGGGTGACGTCATCATTATAAGCTGTTATGCTGCTAATTAGTAGTGACGTCACTCGCAGGCCCTTCCGACTCGAGAATTGACGAACATACGCCTTATGAGGATGAGAATTCCTGTTAGTTTACGATTCTTGGCCTGTGCTCACCGAATACCGAATTAACCGACAGAGGCTGCTGATGTTACATTGCATTGTTGCCGACATGAGAGCAAGTTTCCAGTATTACGTGACGAGGATGACTATCCCCCACTCAGAACTCATTTGTAGCTCTTAGCTCTATCATATCGTCGCTGTCAGTACGAAGAGGCCTATCTCAATATTTGGCGAAAATGAGTTATTCCCATAAAAATACTTGAAATAATCATATCTATATTGTGACACCTCGCCTAGTCTTGGCTATTTATTGTAATATTTTTATTTTTAGATTGTAATGTATTTATTTTTAAATTATTATTGTAATGATTTAATTTATGCATCCTTTATACGTTGACTTGCATTCTCTGGCTCGGAATATTATGGATTGAATGTACATATTATTAATTTTATTTTAATTGTATTTTTGTTTTTACTTTTATTTGTATTTTCACTGTTTGTTATTCTAATTGTACATGTATTTTAATTTTTACATAGGTAACTATATAATTTCAATTTTTGGCATTTATTTTTATCCTGCTTACTATATATGTATATTGCCTGGGTGGCTGCTTTGTAGATAAGATATTTTTCTTTTCACAATAGAGCATACATATTTTGATTTGATTTGATGATCGAGTTGAATTTTGAAAATGTCTTAGTTTTATTCTGATATTTAACCAATTTGAAGCGTTTTGGTGCGGATAACATATACCTCTCTAAATTCGTGGCTAACTCCACCCACATACTTACACTTGATTTTATTGTAAATTTTATTAATAAATATGTAAATGCTTTACAACAATACAATAATAGGTAATTTATTTTATAGGTTTCATTTGCCACAGTCCGTCGTTGAGGTAATGGCAATTTTCCACTCCAATTCCCTTATTGACTTTGGCTCTGCAACAGAAATAAAATTTCATTATAACATGGCAACAATCTTTTTTTCTCGTCTAAGGCCCCCCTCATCTTCAGATAGAGTTGCCACCTTTTGATTTCCAAAAATCCATACATAATCGAAGCTTACTTTCTTTTGTAGCATAATTTACACTCATATCTGTAAAATGAATTTTTAGAAAAAAATTAAAAAAGGTACCTACTTAATTTTAAACGCCCAGTTACGGTCTGTTTTAAAATTAAAAAAAAAAAAGACTTATAAGTGAACAGGGAGAATGACACAATACATACACAATTATTTATTTAATGCCCTGGCTGGTGTTCCATAGCCGAAGGCGAAGCTAGGAAACCAGCCAAGGTATTAAATCTGATCTTTTGCCGTGAGAAACATATAATTTTTTCTCCGAATTTCAAGGATATTCCACTTTTTTATATTTATCAATTGCGCTGATAATGTTTGTTGAATGAGTAGCAACGAGCTTTTCTCTCTAGGCAGAAAAAGTCCACTTTTCCGTCGCTAGCTGGAAATCGGAGACGTTAGTGACACACCCGTCATTCAAGAAGTAGGTACGTTCAGAAATAAGTTAGGTAAAGTGCGACAACGGAATGAACCTGTGTGGAAGGAATGCGGGCGAAACCCTCCTGACTGGCGCGAGATAGAATATGCATATACGCGGGTCGTCGCGTCAGGGTAACCACAATTTTCGCACCACGTCGGGGACCCAATGCGTCATATACAGGGTCCCAACTATTTCATAGGGACAGCATTGATTGCTATCTCGGGAACGGTTAAAGGTACGAGGGCGTTTAAATTAAAAAAAAGTTGCCATTTTTGAAGAATGTTAAAAATATAATACTTTTGAATTTGAACTATGCCTCTAAATAAAATAGATTTTAAAATTTTTGATAAAATTGTTTTTGCAAATTTTGAAAAATCGCCCTGTATTTGCGAAACCAATAGAAATATGACAATAACGAAATAGTACATTAAAATACAAGTTTCATAAGACGTCATTTTATCGCGAGGCGAGTTTTCTAAAGGGCGAGTGCGATAAAATGTCTTATGAAACGAATATTTTATACTATTTTTTCTATTTTGGTATTGTTTAATTGAAAAAAACAAACTTTTCTTGGAAATTTTATTCTCATATTTCCAACAAAAGTTTTTTTTCTTAAATTAAACAATATCAAAATAGAAAAAATAGTATAAAATATTCGTTTTATAAGACATTTTATCGCACTCGCCCTTTAGAAAACTCGCCTCCGGCTCGTTTTCTAATATAGGGCTCGTGCAATAAAATGATGTCTTATGAAACTGGTATTTTAATGTACTATTTTAATATTGTTCAAAAATGGCGACTCTTATTAAATTTAAACGCCCTCGTAACTTCAACCGTTCTTGAGATAGCAATACTGTCCCTATGAAATAGTTGGGACCCTGTATTGTAGGTTTTTGTCTTCCCCTCTGCTACTTCATACGTTACCTAGGTTCACTCAGTTGTCACACTTTATATCCTGACCTGAGACGTTCAGCAATCGCCTTTATAAATTTTATATTGAGAATTAATTACTATTAATTATACAGCTATCCAGATATTCCCGGACAATTTCATCATGCGACCGGACAACGGACAAACCTTCAAAAAACCGGACAGTCCAGGTGAAAACCAGACAGGTGGCAACAATATCTTCAGATAAACTTGCTGGTAACTATCTGCAAGATAAATTTACCGTTTTATAATTCTATTGGTCAGCGGATAACTGGCCGACAAATGGGATTACAGATTGCGTTTTTATCTCTCAGATTGCATACCTGACAGTTTACCAGAAGGTGAATAGATCAACCCTTAAAATATATAATACATACAGAGTGGACAAAAAATTAAAAAAATATATTATTCAAGTTCTTACATGTCTTCAGTGGACAACGTAGTCTTTCCTATAGCCAAAGCATGATCCTTGCCTTCGGCCATTATAGCCTAAAATTAAAAAAACAACTTATAAAACAAATACACACGTAAAATCCTTTACATACCACAATAGTGTCTTTGGGTACTTCAGTCATCTGAGCCCCGGGCGAAGTGAGACCCGGACACATTATATTAGCACCACTAAGTACAAATCTGATCGCTCCTTTGTCTACTTGTTGCATCGGTAAAAAGAAAGGATCTAAAAAAATTTAATATAAAGAAACAAAATATATGTTTAATTTAATTATTAATACGGCAACAATAGTTTTTTTTTTTTTTTTAAATTGTCGACGTTTCGCAAAATTTATTTACATCTTCAGGACAATTTAAAAAATAACTGAGAATAGGCCAATAAAAACGCTATCGGTAATTCCATTGGTCGGCCAGTTATACGCTGACCAATTGAATTATAGAATGGTAAATTTATCTTGCAGATAGTTACCAGCAAGTTTATCTGAAGATGAATAAACCAGGCGTTAAATTAAATAAATTGATGAATAAGTAAATAATGAAATGGAAATTTATTTACACTTGTGAAGTAATCTTAGGGTGGGCATCCATTGACCTTCTCGATGCCTGAAAAATTGCTGTTCCCCAGCCGAATTGACTATAATTTCAATGTGATCGTGACTGCAAAGAAATATAATTTTTTGTATAAAGGAATCAAGTTATATTCAACTTACCATTTTACTATTTTAAAAGCGTCCTTTTTGGGTAAAACTACTTCCAAATAAGTATCCAAAAACGGATAAGACTCCAAAATTTTCGATCTGATCGACTTTTGCACTGAAGATTTCAGCTGCAAGACTCCGGATATACTTTCTTTCTCGTCGAATCTTAAATCACAGATAATTAATAGAATAATTAATAATTTTAATCACTAATTAACTCACTTCTTAAACATTTTTAATTATAAAAAATTTATTTTGAGTTTTTCAGTAAATGAAAATATTGAATTATTTGAGGTTAGGTAATAATGATGGCGCTAAAATCAGTTGCCGTCAACAGATGGCGCTAATCTCGGTTCAGGTAGAATTAATTCGGAGCAATTCTGTTCTGAACTAGTTTTGATCCAAGTTCTTTTTGAACTGGTTCGGAATGTGATCCACAATCTAAGCTTATGTTTTCTTCGTGCAGAGTACGAAATTGGAACTATTAAGCGGTTACACACGGGCGTGGATGTCTTAAAACATGTACGCACATACATGAACGCGCAACCAAAAACATCAATGGGCGCGTTTGGGTTGACGCTCGGTGCACTCAGAGCTTGCACTTTTGTCTCTCTTCTCTTATTTTTGAAGCTACGAGTGCTACGACAACGCTTGATTGTGTTTGGTTTGGCATATTTTGAGCGCTCAGAGCGAGCTCGATAAACTCCGAGTTTGTGGAGTGGGCCGCTAGAGCGTGCATGCGCAGATCAGATGTGTTTATCTGTCTATAAAACCCAACCTATTTTCCATGATAAGATAAATAAAAAAATCCTAAATTTCAACATTCATTTGTTAGCTGGATAGTTTTATATGTTAACAATCAAATGCCTATTTAAATCCTGCATTATTGTTCACTTATAATTAAATTTTCTGGGTAGCCTTCATCACTGGCATTATTGACCATATTTTCCCAAGCGAACTTGGCAGCCAAAGTATTGTTTGTTCAGGTCTATTACTCCATTTGTTTATTTAGCACGACACAATTTTTGCAGAACGCAGAAGAAAATGGGGGGGTTTAATAAATATCGAATAAAATAAAAATAAACTCTGGTGGAAATACGAAATACGGACTCGGACTTCAAAAAAGATATCCTAAAAAAAATAAACATCAATCAGCTGACCCCTCTACCTCTACCCAGCACTTCTGCACGAGTTTATTTGGCTTGACACGGTGTACTCCCTGTGACGTCACGTAACTCCATAATGACCATAATCGCTCTGCTCGCTCCGCCGAGCGTCAACCCAAACACGCCAAATGTGTATGCAAAATACCATCGCGTTTTTGAATGTGGAATCGCTAGAAATTTTGTATGCACACTCGGATTACTGTAGCAAGAATAGCAAGACTGCAGTTTTGTGCAAGCGTCTGTACATACGCGACATGCACGTTGTTGTTTGCACGTTGATGTATGCACGTATATGTATTAAGCCATCCACGCCCGTGTGTAACCGCCTATTAGCTGGCAAAGTTCAAATTATGTTGTTCGCGGATCACTGAATTCCGAATTTGGGACCTTTCTTTGCAGGTTCAACTTGGATCAATTCTGAACTAGTACCATTGCTTTAAAGAAGAATTAAAATAAAACAGTTCTAGTGCCTTTTATGTTCCCAAATCGTTCGCAGCATGTCTTTAATTGTTCCAGAGTAGAGCAATTTGGAATGGGATCACGCAAACAAAGCTTTATAAAAAATTAAATCTGACAACGTTGCTTTTATATCATCAAACATCTCAACTGTCACTTCTGTCAAGTCAAGCCTGGCACTTTTCTTTTTGACAACGGACAAAAACAAAAATGGTGAGTTGTTATAACATAAAATTAAATTCTTTAATCATCGGCCCAATTAATGCCATTTTGCCGATTTTTCTGTGAAAATCGAGCACAGGGGTCGTCGTTTCATTAATATCCGTCGAGCTTTTTGGGCCTGAAAAGTGAAAACTCAGAAAAACCAAATTTTCTAGGTTATGTTTATATCAACATTGATTTGATTTTTTAAATATTTTTCTTCTTTCTTTATTGAATAATAATTATTATTGATTGGATGCCTTTTTTTATTTTAGGTGAACGTACCGAAACAGCGTCGTACGTTTTGCAAAAAGTGCAAAGTGCACAAGTTGCACAAAGTCACTCAGTACAAGAAGTCCAAGGAACGTCACGCTTCTCAAGGTAGAAGACGTTACGACCGTAAACAACAAGGTTTCGGAGGTCAGACTAAGCCTATTTTCAGGAAGAAGGTAAGAAATTTACTTAATAACCTTGTAACTTCATATGGGGGACCCAATTTTAGTCAAAAATCTTGTTGCGAGATCTCAAGTTGTTACAACAAGTCTCTGTAAGACCTCTACATCCTTTTTTTTTATTAGCCATTATTTTTTCAAGATTTTTAAAGGTTATTTTTATACAGGGTTTCCCAGTTCAACTGGTCAAAAATTCTAGGGTATATAGAGGAACCATAGAGAAGTAGTATGAGATAGGACACCAATGATCGGAAGTGCTAGGTTGTTTTTTTAGGAATGATATTCAAAAATATCAAGTATAATTGAATTAGCATGTAAATAAAAAAATTGAGCTAATAATTACATGCAATTTGTGTAGCTCTTCAGATGCATCAATGGAAAATTGTTTGAAAAAAAATTGTCAAACGGAAAATTGTTCAAACGGAAAAATGTTTGAAAAAAAAATTGTTCAAAAGAAAATTGCTCGAACGGAAAATTGTTCGAACGGAAAATTATTTGAACAGAAAAATGTTCAAAAGAAAATTGTTTGAACAGAAAATTGTTTTATTTTTTTTTCCGAAAAATCAATAGTTTGACTTTGAATCGTAAATGAAATATGAATCTAGGGCCGGAGTTACCCAATTTCCTTACTCTTCTTAATAATAATAATAATAATAATAATAATAATAACAAACTTTATTTCAAAATCATCATTACAAGTGCAACAAAGAAAGAAATGACGTCATACATACAAGTACATAGGTATAGGTACATTAAGTTAAAGGTCTCTACAAAATTCCCTTAAATTATAGGGTTCTAGGTCAACTAACAGTTTTTTGATTTCTCGTTTGAATATTTTTTGGGATTTTATTTTTTTCATATTTTCTGGCAGAGCATTGAACAATTTTAGGCACATATAATTAGGACATTTTTCTGTTAATGTAAGCCTATGTAATGGGTAGCTAACATCCAAGGTTCGCGTGTTGTAGTTACATTGTTGGCCAATATCAAAACTGTCTTTGTATTTTAAAAAGAACATTAGACATTCATAAATATACAGGGTGTCCCAGGGAAAACAGTCTACCCCGATTTATTGGATTTGGGATGAGAATCTGAAAAAACGCTCGGACACGTCGATTTTTGATTTGAAGGGAAACTATTTTTCAGTTTTTCTCATCCCCGTAGCTTCAACCCCCTAGCTAGGGGCAGAACAACCCCCCAAATTTTAATAGGGGATAGGGGTCATGTCATATCTCTTTTTAAAGGTCTCATTGAGTTCTTTATGCCCCTAGAATTTCGTCTCATTATTTTCATCCGTAACGAAATGACAGCTTGTCAAAATCTTGGAAATAGACTATTAGCACAGCATATACAAAAACAATCAGCAGGCTAACTTGAGTGACAGCCCGTGTAATAAAGGAATTCATGGTCAAAATGTCACTAGCGGTCATTTTGGGATACGAAACAGGGCCTGATTAACGATAATTTAGGTTTTTTCTTTCCTGTGACAGAGTCTTATTGGCTTTAAATAAACTAATTTATTATTACTTACATATAATAATATTTATAATTACTAATTTATTATTATTATTGAATATACAAGAATGATAACAGATAACACCATAAATCACAACACGAATATATCAAAATCATTTTGAAAATCATAGCTAAAATTCCGCTCTACACTGCACGCCTAGGACCTCCGTCAGAAATAAACCTTGCGTTTTTATTCTCATCAAATTTTACCGATGGATCCACCATTCTATGGCCATAATTGTCATTTTTCATTCACTAAAAAAAGATAGCTAATGCATCGGTGAAGTCACCAATGAAAATAAAAACGAGGGGAAACAAATAAAATAAAAATTCAGCGCTCCTGCCGTTTAATGACAGCGTTATGACAAAATGGTATCCCCTCATGGCGGCGTGCGCAGAAAAGATGCGCGTGAGAGTTAGCCTGCTGATTGTTTTTGAATATGCTGTGCTATTAGTTTAAGTGGAAGCAAAAGCGATACTTACCTCCCCTAATAAAAATACTTGAAATGAAGTTTTTTCTTATTATTATTAATGAGGTGTACACGAGAATTGTAAATTGTAGATGTCTATCAACTTAGCGAGACAACTTCGAAAAATCGATTTTCCATTATGCCAAGAATTTGCCGCTTTTTTGCCGCTAATTAAATGTGGAATTAAAAAATTTGCCGCTCTTTTGGTTTTTTTCTTAATTACGTGTTTTGCTAACTTGACGTCAAGATAGCGAGACAACATCACTAAATATGTCAGCACTAAAAAACTAGGTACGTGAAAATTTGCCGTTTTTTTGCCGCTAATTAGTTGTGAAAATCAAAAATTTGCCGGTTATTTTTTTTTTTCATAAAAAATAAAGTTTGAAAAAAAATCATTTGTTTCGCTAACTTGACGTCAAGTTAGCGAGATATTATCACCAAAAATGTCGGTAATGAAAAATTGAGTGAATGGGAATTTGCCGTTTTTTTGCCGCTAATTAGTTGTGAAAACCAAAAATTTGCCCTTTTTTTTACAAAAAATCAAGTTGGAAAAAAAATCATGTGTTTCGCTAACTTGACGTCAAGTTAGCGAGACAATATCACTAAAAATGTCGGTAGTGATGAGTTGAGTGAATGGAAATTTGCCGTTTTTTTGCCGCTAATTAGATGTGAAAACTAAAAATTTGCCGCTACCTTTCTTTTCATAAGAAAATCGTGTTCGAAAATAAAATAGTGTTTTCCTAATTTAACGTGAAGTTATTGAGATCACTAAAAATGTCGGTAGTGATGAATTGAGTGAGTGGAAATTTGCCGCTAATTATCTCTTTTTCTATAAGAAAATATCGCGTTTGAAAAAAATATCATGTATTTCGCTAACTTGACATCAAGTTAGCAAAACAGTAAACAGTATCAATAAAAACGTCGGTAGAAAACTTCATTCATCTGTCAAAACTGGTATTCGAACCATAAACTTGGCTCTGTGTCATTTGCGCGACAGTCGTTTGCGCGAGGGAGAAAAGCGCCTTAATAAAAGCGCGAGGGACAAAAGCGCGAC